TTGGAGGCGTTATCTGACTGTCGGGCACACAGGACGCGCGGCTGTCGGAGACACAGAACATCTGGATAACAGAGACAGAAATCAAAGTCTCATTAGTGGATTTGGGTAATTTAATAGTTCTCCTGAATCATTTCACTGGAAACAGTCCAAGAGGTTTGAAGAATGCGTCGCACCTCTGGCTGGATTGGCTGGACTCTGTGTCTGTGCGCATCTTTGACCGTGAGCGCGCAGGACTACCCCGAGGACGACGAGATGATCCTGGACCTGATCCGTGAGGACGGGACTCAACCTGAAACCGGAGCCGAGCCCGCTGCTGAGTTCCTCAGGTGCAACAAGGTAATATTCACTGTGTCAGTGGCAGTGCTGGTGGAAGTACTCAGACCATTTACTCAGGTAAAAGTAGCAGTACCACAGTGTGCCAGTTCTCCCTGCGTTTAAATGTTACTCCAGTAAAAGTACAAAAGTATTTGCAGAAAAATATACTTTAAATAGTAAAAGCCTATTTCAGAATTAGAAAGTACATTAAATTATTGGATTATAATCAATGATTAATGCACGGATCACTTTAATCCTAATTACAGTGTAGTTTACGCTTGAAATAATGTATTTTATTTATTGATTATATTTTGTATTATTAATCTGAATCTGTAAAGTAACTTGTAAATAAATGGATCAAATAAATGTGGTGGAGCAAAAAGTAAAATATTTCCCTCTGAAATAGTGGAGTAGAAGTATAAAGAAACGTAAAAAAAAAAAAAGTATAAGCGCAGTACTTGATTACTCAGTGTACTTAGTTACTTCCCACCTCTGGTCAGCGCATCTGGTCAGCCCGTTACCGACTGTTTGCAGACTGATCGTTTGGTCCAGTTTAAATAAAGCTACACTGCAGGGAGATACAGATTAACCGACATTTTAAATGTGTTCAATTCATGTGTGCAGCATTATCAGGACAGCGACGGTCTGTGAGGCAACCAGGCGCATTAAATAAATGATTCATTCTCCATTAGAACCAGCACTGAGTGACATTTTTAAAAACTTTTTGCTGAGCATGCCTCATTACTCTTGTACATGCACTGGGACACTGCACCTGCACTAATTGTCCTCTGGGCCGTGCTCCAGGCGGCGTGGCGCATGCCCGGTCAGTACCTGGTCATCCTGAGTCCGGGAACGCACGAGTCTCACGTGCAGAGGACCATCAGGAGACTGACGGCCAAGGCGGCCAGGAGGGGCTACCTGCTGGAGATCCTGCAGACCTACTCCGGAGCTCTGCACGGCTTCCTGGTCAAGATGAGCAGTGACGTCCTTCACCTGGTAACTGCTTCCCCTGTCAGCATGCTGCTTACCAGTAGAACCTGTGGGGGTGAATAAAGGTGTGGGTTAACTTCTTGTCGCTGATCAATGTGAAGACACCAGCTATCAGAATTCTAATAGAGCAATCAGAATCAGTCTATTAACTTATTTTAACATTCCTGCATTTATTTGTGTTTTTAGAAGTATTCTGAATATTCACCCGTTTGGAGGTTTTTGTGTTTTACCTCTTTAAAGCACTGTGGGTGTAATGAGGCTTATTTGACACTAGTAAAGGAAGACTCTTCAGTGTGCAAAACAAAATAACCTCTACAAATCTATCTAAATTAAGTTAAAATATATATATATAAATGACAAAGTAATAACCTGCATTACTTATTATATCACACTTCAAATACATTGCTTTATTTATACAACAACATTCTCTGCAGTAAAACAAGCATAACAATTTAAAAATACATAAATTGTGAAGATTGCTGAGGTAGCTCTGATTCAACTGGAGGACATCAACTGGACATCCAGATAATGGAAGACGTGTCAGTAGTACTGAGCTTCATTAGAATAGCTGCAAATCACCTGGATAACAGTGAATGTCTGTGTTGTGTCAGTGGGTGATATGCATTGCCTTATCATGTGGATAGGAGACCCAGGAAAGACCCCTGGGGTACCCCCTCAAGAAAGAGGGTCACAAGAGGGGCAGCATCTTCAGCCACAACAGAGAAGGACCTGTTGGACAGATAAGAATAAAACCAATCTAATGTCACATCACTGATGCCAACTTAACCGTTTAAACAGTTGATTAAAACTACATTAAAATTCTAATTACATCCACTGTGATTAATATCTAAAAAATAAAACATCAAACCGTCAAAAAGGGGTTACAATCATAGGTGGACAAGTTCACCTTCATCAACTTCCTGTACTTTCTTTTTGCTTTAGACAAACAATAAAAGTTGCTTTTGTTCCTGTCAGGCGGTGAAGCTCCCTCATGTCCACTACATTGAGGAGGACTCATCCATCTTTGCTCAGAGCGCCCCCTGGAACCTCCAGAGGTTACTGCAGCCTCATGGTGGACCCTCTGAAAATGGAACATACAGGCCACCCAGTGAGTCTGTCTGCATGTCCATCTCTCTCTCTCAGAAACACTCTCAGAAACACACACACACACAGTAATTATATTTCAAATCCACTTGCCCTCTGTCCTCTCTAGATGATGGAGGGAAGGCGGAGGTGTATCTGATGGATGGCAGTGTTCAGAGCTCTCACAGAGAGGTTGAAGGACGAGTGCTCATCACAGACTTTAACAACGTTCCTGAAGAGGATGGAGTCAGAGTTCATAGACAGGTTGCACTCAGAAATTCTTCAACAATACGTGCTCATTTGTCTTTGCAGCTCAGAAGCAAAGCTTTCACACCTGTGGATCTGTTACAGTATCATGTTCCACCCTCTCTCCTCTGCAGGCAAGTCAGTGTGACAGTCACGGCACACACATGGCGGGGGTTGTGAGTGGGTCGGACTCTGGTGTTGCTCGAGGTGCTGGTGTTAACCTGGTCCGTGTGCTGAACTGTCAGGGGAAAGGGACCGTGTCAGGAGCTCTGGCGGGTAGGACTCCCACTGTTGCACTACTGACTAGAGATTATATGTCATGTGTTGTCCATTGGTGCACTTCACCACTCATAGCTCAGGAGATAGAGTGGGTTGTCTACTAATCAGAAAGTTGGCGGTTTGATCCCCAACTCCTCCCACTGCATGTCAATGTGTCCTTGAGCAAGATACTGAGCCCCGAATTGCTCCAGATGCTGTGTGGAAATGAATTAGTTTCTGTTGTATGTATGTATGAATAGGTGACTGTGGCATGTAGTTTAAAGCACTTTGAGTGGTTTGAAGACTATGCGCTATATAATGGTCCATTTACCGTTACATACATGCCTTCAATAAACAGCTCTTTGTGTTTTTATACATCCTGTTAGATTATACTTCAAGCCAATTTACAGTACTTATTTTACATGAAAAGCAGGTGTGAAAAGCTGCTGCTGCATGCAGCCATTATGTAGAAACACAAATGCAAAGGGGAAGTGGGTCATTATTTCTTCAACAGCAGCATTTTCTTTTCTGAACAACCCTCTCCTTTCCCATTCAGGTATGGAGTATATCCGAGCAATGTTACTGGCCCGTCCAGTGGATGCTGTGGTTGTTTTGCTGCCTTTCGTCGGCGGTTTCAGCCGTTCATTAAACACAGTCTGTCGGGACATGGTGGCTAACAGAGCTGTAGTCATTGCTGCTGCGGGGAACTACAGGGATGACGCCTGCCTCTACTCACCTGCCTCAGAGCCTGAGGTTACATAGCACTTTATCTAAATGAGCCTGATGGATGCATTCACACACAACCCTTACCGTAGCTTCTTCTGCGTGTGCAGGTCATCACGGTGGGCGCAGTTAACTCAGCAGACCAGCTCATGTCACAGGGAGCAGGTGGCACCAATTTCGGCCGCTGTATTGATCTGTTTGCACCCGGCGATGACATTGTTAGTGCCAGTAGTGACTGCAGCACCTGTTTTACCTCCCGTAGTGGAACCTCGCAGGCTGCTGCACATGTTGCTGGTATGCGCGCACACACACACACACACACACACACACACACACGAAAAACAAAGCAGTCTGTGTGTGTAGCTCCAGTAGAAGTGACTTATATATTTTTTTTATGTAGGTATAGCAGCAGTGATCCTGTCATCCAATCAGAACGTGTCACCGGTGCAGGTCCTGCAGATGATGCTGCATTATTCCATCAGCAACACAATCAACTTCCTCTCTCTGTCTGACACACATCGTCTGATTACCCCAAACCTGGTGGCAGCCATGCCTCCCACCAACAGCACAGGTTAGTGACTCACACAACACTTACACCCTCTTACACACACACAAGCAGCATCGGCGAGGGGTTCACACTGTGTGTCTGTTCGGGTTTTCAGACGGGGAGCTTCTGTGTCGGTCAGTGTGGTCAGAAAAGTCAGGGGTCACGAATACTGACAGGGCTATCAGTCGCTGTCGTCTGGGGGAGGAGATGATGAGCTGCAACAGCTACACTCCTGACGGTGTCCACGCTGGAGAAACCATCACTGTGAGTTCAAACTGACCTCTTCTTATCACTAAAAAACACTTCTACTGTTAAAAACCCTTCACCCCGTGTTTACAGGTGAACAGCGGGCAAATGGAGTGTTTTGCCTACAATGGGCCGGGGGGTAAAGGTGTGTATGCTGTGGCGCGTTGCTGTGTGATAAGTGGTCTGCAGTGCCAGGTCCATGCTAGTCCTGAGCCTGGACTAGATGCAGAGTGTGTCAGCCCGCAGCACCACCTGACCGGTAAGTCACAGATACCATGTGCTGTAGTTTAAATGAGCACACCTGTCTAGCTGCTGTCGCTGTTTTTCTGTGTGGAATTTCAAGCATTAATTTGACATTTTGCAGAGTTAAATGAGAAGATGACTTTCATCATCTTTACTTCTTTTAAATATGAAGTTAGAGCCAGCAGGGTGCTGGAAGGGGGAAAGTCTAAATTCACATCTTTTTTAATAGAATAATGAAATGAACTTTTTACACTGGTCCTGCCAGTCAGTGCCTGGAGAGTATTTTTATGCGATCCTGTAAACAAGGTACCATCCAGTGAAGCGACGTGAGGCAGACACAGGGGCAGCGCGTTGGAGCAGACGTCACCTTATGTTCGACGGTTCCTTCACTGATCATTAAAAGAGCCAAGAATACCGTCATCCTCTGGTACCTCGGTGTTGTGGATTGGTAAGTTTTTGGTTTCCTTATTTTCTTGATTGGGATTTTTTCTATTTTAACTCGCTATAGAGCAAGCGAACATACGCATGGTTCTAACATCAAAATGTAGCCCAACTACCGCTGTTACTGGATGAGTGAATCTCAGCTTCACCCATTACAAGCACAGGCTGGTTCATGCTAAACATGCATTATATTATTATGACACATCTAACTTTAGCAAGTTATAACGCAGAATAAAGTGAAGGTAATTATGGGCTAGTAAAAAATTTTGTGTTCTCTAGAGGGATAATTATTAATCACTTCTCAAAAAAGAAACCCAAATTTACTGTTTTTCAAAGCTGACATATTGGACCTACTAGCAACTAGTAAATAATGTCCTGCTAATGATCGGAAGCATTTTTTTACATTTTTTTTTTTTTACAGTAAATGATAAAATTAAAATCCCCATAAAAATATTTATTATATCACTCAGTGAGAGGGCCATCATCAATCTTCTCATATAATTATCTGCAACAAGGTAAAGACACCCGTATTTCCAATGATATTGAACTATTTCTTTAAAACTGTTGAAATAACTTGAATGCTGTACATAAACTATCCTTTAAGCTGAGTATGTGGTTTTGATGTGGCTGTATTTAGAACATCCTAGACAATTATGCTAGTTACCATGGCAATCACTCTGAAAGGAAAATGTACTCCATCCCAACATAAATACCAGCTTTGTGTGCAGTATAAAGAGCAGGTCTGTCAAAGGCAGTTATCACACTTTAGTGGTTTGTTACTTTACATTATCTCCCTCATTCATTGCCTTTATGATGATCCCTGTGTGTAGGATGGGTCAGTGCTCCTCTGACAATCGCTAATGGGCAGTACTTCAAAGTTTACTTCTGTTTGTGCTCAGTTCAAAATGTAGCTCGTCTCTCTCTAGGCTGTACATCTTGGTCCACTGCGGAGATCTCGTCCAACTCCCGTCCACATCACGGTGACCGGAAACGTTGTGTTGTGAAAGACGGGGTGACGTCTCATGCTGTGTGCTGCCATGCTCCGTCTCTGGAGTGCCACCTGTTGGAAAACATATCAGCGGATAAAGACCAGGTAAATATTTTACATAGAAATGTCTTGGATAGAACTTTCCCTCAGCCCTTTACCCTTTAACACGGCTCCTGCTCTCTTGCAGGTTGAGGTGTCCTGTCCCTCTGGCTGGACTCTGACAGACTGTAGCGCCGTCTCTCAGGGCTCTGCTATCTTGGGGCCAGTTGCTAAGGGCAACAGCTGCCGTGTCCGCAGTGCTACAGGAGCCGATGGGGCAGCAGGTATCGCTGTCTGCTGTCGCGTTAGGCCGCCAGAGCAGCCCGCCACAACTCCTCACTGATCTGGTCTCACACCAACACCTCCTCTCTAATGCAGGTGTCTCTAATGTTGTCATCCTTTATCAGTGGCTGTAAGCACTTGTGTAAAGCTGTTTGTGAGTGTTTCAGTTCTAGGATTAGGTCAAAATACGCTCCACATATTGTAGTAATGCCTCAGACTTACATATGCTGCCTCATCTAGTTCTGTCTTGTTAGATATTTTTAAACCATTTACAGTTTGTAGAATGTAACCAAATATTTTTGTATCTTTTACTAAACAGTTATAATAAAGAGAGCTGTCATGAACATATGTATTTTTCTGACATAGTGTCTATATGCTCTTTACAAACTGATTAACACATAAATTCAAGTGAATGCGATGAGAACAGAAAGATTTATGACAACTTACAATACAGTTACGTGTCTATAATCCAATGAGGAGCGCCAGGCAATACACAGTTCCTAACTATAGGGTATCCAAATCAGCCTTTTTCACAGCAGACAGTAACGATGGCTCAGTCCCATTCAAGTGTCCCAATAAGTCATGACATAATGCGTAATACCAGAACCCTGAAACTGAAGCAGCTAAATGGTATGTGCCATCATCTTATTATTTACTCATTTCAAACCTGTGCTTTTCCTACTGTGACATAAAACAAGTCTTTGTGAAAAAAGCCTATGAAAACAGTTCACACACCACTGGATACGTGAAAAATCCAATCAGACACAACTCACCAAATACTTTTCTGAATGAGTCTGTGGCAGAGGAGGGTGTTTCCAGTTAAGACGGTTGGCGAAGAACCAGAGAGGCTAGAGGTTGAGCCAGGCAGCAGTAGAGCGCTGGGTAATCAGCCTAATTAGCAGCTTGATTAATAAGCCAGTTACCTTCTGCTCACTTTGTTTTGCATCGAGTCGAGAATATTGAACTGCATTTATGTGACAGCAGCTTCTAGGATTAAATAGTTGAAGCCAAAAACAAAATGAGTGGAAAACACAATGTCATTAAAACCAAGCACACTCCTTCCTTATTTTTACAGCTTCAAACAGACAGACTTCAGGCATGGAGAGCACCATGGGGATATCTGTCCAACACCGCCAGCTGTGGTGCACTGATGAGTGGAGTGATGTTTGATTGCCACAGGAAATCTGATATCATTACTGCTAAACTGATACAACCCTTCATCACAGATGCCTTATGCCAAAATCATAAGCCATGATATGAGGCTGGGGTTGTGCATGAATTCATGAGTGGAGCTAACCTGATTACCTATTCTCAGTCCAAAAAGCCTTTTTTTTTTTTACAGCAGACATTTTGAATTGGGAAAAGCAGAAGTACAGGTGATACAAATATAATTAATGATAATTCTTTTCAAGTGTCCCTTTTTTTTTTTTAAATTATTACTTATACCCGTTCTTCCTCCTGTGACACATCAAAATGTCTTCAATAAAAAAGTCCAATATATTGATCTTTTTCAGTCTTTGCAGCCAAACACCTGTTTATCCTATTATTTCATGTCAAAATGGCTGCTGTGAAAAAGACTGTCGGCTGAATAAATAAATAAAATAAATCAGATGAGTTATTAAGATTTCCTGCAGAAATTAACCTACAAAAAGGTTGAGAATTAAGATGCATCAACATTTTGTAAGGTGTCTGTCCTGGAATAAACTAGTGAATAATTTGACAATCTGTAAACATACATAAAAACAATGTTTACAAAAGGTTGTGCATTCCAGTTTATTTTATATCAAATTTCCCCTTAATCAAACTCTGATGTACAAATTAAAACTGAGTTTTAACATGCATTACAGAATCCTGCGATGGCAGAAGTGAATTTTCAAAATTGAATGACAGTAAAAACCCGTACAGATACCAATCCCTACCCACGCACTTCCCCATCCCTCCCTGCATCCCAGGATTAAAACAAAAGATTGTTTTGAGGTTTCTTTCCTTTTCTTTTTTTTTAAAGTAGTTGTGGTGATGTGGGGTAAACCTAGGAGACACTCTTGGCTGCGACTCATGTTGCCATGGCCATGTACGCCTTGGCACAGACTGCATGCAGCTCCATCAGATAGCACGTAACCAGCCACAGAGAAGGGGCGTATGTTTGTGACAGTAAGTGCTAATGACCAAATTACACAGCAAACAACACATTGGGCTGTTGTTTCTCCTCTGTCACACAAAAAAAGACAAACTTCACCACCACTTACTGCCACACATGCAAACGTGCTGGAGAGCACGACGTGACATTCACATCTAGTGAGATAGAGAGGAAAATGGGCTGGGTGGGGGGTGGAGGGTGGGGGGGTGATCTTCCCTCTTCTCAGGCTTTGAGGACGTGGAGTGGATTGATCGCATGACGACTTCCAACAGAAAACCATTTTGCATGATTGCTTTGTAGGTCCTCACACTGTAAACATTTACCTGTTAAAGCTGAGAGCTAGTCTGCTAAGCTAGTTTAGGCTCATGTCTTCAGAACATCTGAGTGAAAGTGTGGCTTCCTTAAAACTATCTAGCATAAATCAGTATCTACAAAGTGTCTCTGCTTGAGTGCAGAGTAAAAAGAAGCAGCATTTTACCATCACCAAAACCCTGTCCTGTCACCTAAACCCTGTTTTATTAGGGTAAAACTTACACCCCCCCTCCCTCCCCCATACACACACACAGAATCAACAACCAACAATTACATTCCTACAATCCTTTGTCACAACACACAGAGGACATTTTCCCTGTATTATTTTGGGTCTAATGGGGATGAAGAAGCCCTGTTGCACTACAGCGAGACTATTTGACCTCATGAGACAGTGGTTTGGTGTCACGGTCAGGACAGGTGGAGCAGGTGTTAGCCCACCTCCTCAGAGATGCGATGATACAGTATCAGAGGTGGGACGGGGGAGAGATCGGGAGGTTAAGGCACTTCAAGTCTCCCGATGATTGGAGTAAGGGTGATGGATGCACGCTGTTCTTGTATGGAACTAGAGCTACATTTGGGTTTAGCTCCTCTGTGTGTTTCCAAAGGTAGACAAAAGCAGAAGGCAAAGCAAAAAAGAAAACTCCATTGGAAAAAAACAAAATCAAACCTGATAAAGCAGAGGTAACAGTGAGGCAAGGAGGACCTGTTCTTTGTGTTTGTGAGTGAAGTGAATGAGTGACACACATTTTTCACAAGTTCTATCATAGTGTATTATTCTTTGTGTGTGTTGTGTGTGTGTGTGTTGTGTGTGTGTTTGTAACCTTGGCACCTAAAAGTAAAACATGCTCCTGAGCTCCCCCTCAGTCGGCACTGATGGCCCACTATGACTGATCTGTGCACTTCCAGATCAGCTTATCTTGCATAAGGCTTGAGTCCCTAAACATCTTCTCCAAAAGTCAATCCATCCGGAGTCAAAGAAAAGTGGCAAAGAAACTAAAACGCAGCAATGAAAAGAATAAAATCCAGCACATGAGGCTGCCTGACAGCGAGAAGAAGAAGTAGAGGGAGAGCGCTGACCATGGCACTGCTTGTTTCAAATTTGCTGAGGGCCGGGACTTGTCCAGTTTCCACGGGCTGCCCTGTACTGTGTCCCCATGGCTACAGTGTGGTCGCCAGGGTGAAAGGTTAAGTCACAGGCTTGCTATCAGGGTTTCCATGTGTCTGCATAAGTGGCACTGAAAATATAAGTTGTTAAAAGCAAAAGAAGAGGAGGACACGATCGCGAGGAGGCTCTAGAGGAACTGACCAGTGCTGCTGTACGTCACAATAGACTGGGCTGGACTATAAAGTGCATACTTAACCCCACCCCCTCCCAAGTGCTTGTGTGTGAAGGTGTTCCTGTACAAGTGCACACGCATGTCTGTAAGTTCCTCTAGAGCACCTAATGTGACCTCTCACAATTTGCATGGCTGTGGAGAAGAGCACAGGAGACTTTAAAATATTATCTTACACTGGAAATTACATCTATGGAACAAATCTTTACAATATGAATATGTCTATGTAGATACATTGGCAAATATGAGCAGAAAATTGTTAAAACACAACCCAAACCCATCCTCCACCTTGCTGTCATTCTGAGTGAATGAATGAATAAAAGGATAAACTGAAGTCATCCGTGACTGTGGAAGGTTTTCGCACTTCCCACTGTAATCAACTCTGCTGCCCTTAATGATAATGCATCTCCATCATCGCCGTGGCTGCTCTGAAAGGAAGTAATTTATGATTTATTCATAGCTCCTTTGTTGCCGTAGCGACCGAGAGTATAAGTGTTCTGATTGGCTTGCTGTGGAGTCCTAAATGTCCTGACCAATCAGAGGCAAAGTGCAGCCCTTTCAATTGGCTGCCTGGAGCTGTGCCGCTTCTCCTTCGAAGGGATCCTGCTGGTTGGAGGAGTTAGGGGTCTACATCTTCTAGATCGCTCTTTGAATCGCCAAGCATCATGGGAGACTCCGAACCCTGGGAGAGAGACGAGGTGTACATTTAATATGAGAACAAACAAATGTGGTGTTTTTATGAAGAAAGGTACAGATGGTGAAATATCAAAGTGCTAAGCGGGGACAGTGGGATTCTAATTTCTCTCTCTCTCTTTCAGCACATCTTTATCTATCTGCCGTGTTCATGGCTTTGCCAGAACAAGTCTGACACTTGAGTTGTGTGGGCATCTTGTCGGGCACAGCAGGAATCAGAGAAGAATGGAGCAGCTTTAAATCCACCGCTAATAACAACCGTGGGAGGTAACAAACTGCCTTTAAAGCTTTTGACAGAAGCCAGTGAGATGTTCCATTTTTGTTCCATTCTTTTCTTTTTGGCAGTGTGAACTGAGCAGGATGTTGTAATACGATGAGTCATGTAAGAAGCCCACTGTGCTGAGCAGCTAATGCGATTGAAGCTGAGGGATACCTGTCGGAGGCTGCGGTCGGTGTTTTCATTTGCTGGACTGCCGTCAGAGCCGTTGCTGCTGCCAGACTGCTCCTTTTCGTTTAACAACGCTGTGGCATAGGCCAAGGTATCCTGCAGAGTTTGATACACAGACAATGAAACAGAAGGGAGCCAAGTTGAGAGCAGAAGAGAAAAGTAATCATCGAGTACCATTGACAGCGTGTGTGTTTGCATGCTGTTGGTGGTGGGAGGGACTCTTATCAGGCTGATATACAATATTTCTGTGTGTGTGTCTGTGTGTGTGTGTGTGTACCTGTGCAGAGATGGTGCGCTGGAAGGTTTTGTTGGTGGATGTTTCATTGGAGACGTTGCTCTGTGGAGTCCAATAATGTTCTGTCATCTGAGGGAATATGATGCAAAAATACAATTAGCATACAGGGAAA